AAATGATCGATATCATAATCAACAATATTTCTTAACTTTTCCATTTGCTTCTCGAAGAAAATTTATGAAAATTCACATACGTAAAGATTTTCGTGAGCTTGTAAAAGTGTTGAAAGCCAGAAGGTGATAGAGTGTTCTCTCTCTATCTCTCTCTTTCTTTCTCTCTATCCATCTCTCTCGAACAAGAGTCGTCCTCTCTATCTCGAGTTCTATCTTTCTTTCTCTCTTTCTCCTTCTCTCTCTCTCTCTCTCTCTCCCTCTCCTTCTCTCTTTATGGTCGATAAGTTTCGACGTTTTCGTCGATGCTGAACACAACACCGAGAAAAGCTTCTACACGAAGACGACTACTACAACAACAACGACGACGACGACGACGACGACGACGACGACGACGATGACTACGACGATGACTACGTCGACGACGACGTGCTATTCGTTTTGAGTTGCCGGGCAAAACTAGTCAGTGGGTGGTTATAACGCCACTGGCAAAGCCTTCTAGCCCCTACCGCTTCTGCTTTTCGTGAGCTATCTCTTCTTCTTCTTCTTCTTCTTCTACTACTACTACTCCTACTGTTACTACTACTACTACTACTACTACTACTACTACTACTACTTCTCTGCCTCTTCCTGTACGTATTTGTATTCGTATTCTTATTCGTACTCGTGTACGTATTCATATTCGTATTCGTATTCGTTTTCTATTCGCGCGACGTAAAGGTAAAATGCATATAAACTTGTACACATGGATGAATTAATATTATCTGATAATATTATATTTTCAATAAAATATTTAGAGTTAATTAGATTGGTACAGTTCATTTTCTTTTTCTTTTTTCTTTTTTTTCTTTTTTAGTTTTTAGTTTGTTAGCGAATTTAATTGATGTATATATGTATATATGTATATATGTATATATATATATATAAGGTATGAATTGTTTTAAATTAAATTCATTATATAATGTAATTGCAATTAAGATGCATATAATATGCGTATGAAAATGATAGTTATATAAGTGATTATAAATGTTTGAACCTATCCGTCTTATGCAATACATTATTATATATTATATGAATATTTAGAATGTATATATATATATATATATATGTGTGTATGTATTTACGTATAATGAATTGCATAACCCGTAACGGAACAAACATTTTTCATATTTCATTTACGATCGCTGTCAACTATTTTTTATTCATCCATCTATGTATATCTACATCTATATGTATTCACACATATGATATACTTGTCAAAAGATTCGAATGGTGCAGACACCATGACACGTGACGAAGAAAAATCGTACCATTTCGACGTAATTATCCTCACCCTTTCTTTTTCTTTTTTCTTTCTAAACTCTCGTCTCGTTCAACAATATCACGTGAAAGAATCTTTCAGCTTTTATTTTTTCTTCTTTTTTTTTTTTTTTTTTTCTTTTTTTTCTTTTTTTTTCTCGAGGCCTCTCGATTTAACGAGACGCACGCGAGTTTTACATGCTAATAATCGACATACACGCACATATGTATATATATACAAATATACATACATAAATACATGCATACAATTATATACATATAGCAGAACGTTTAAAGAGCAATATTTCGTTCTCGTTCTAACGCGATCTGTCAAGGGTCTCAAAAACAACCGAGAATAATCTCTCTCTCTTTCTCTCTCTCTCTCTCTCTCTCTCTCTCGTAGCCGATAGTATCGTATCCTCGTCTGGCGTCTGGCCTTTCCATCGGTCCTTCTATCGGGTGTGCCGAGAGAAAGAAAAAAATGAATGGAAGAATAGGAAAGCAAAAAGGAGGAAAACGAAAAACCAAAATAAACAAACAAACAAACAAACGAACGAACGAGCGAGCAAACAAACAAAAGGGAGGGATCCAAAAAAAAAAGGAAAAAGTAAGAAAAAGAAAAAAAAAAGAAAGAAAGGAAAAAATGGGAGACCCGATTTTGTTCTCGTACGCTTGCTTTTCGGCGTCTCTCCTTTATCCCAACGTCCCTTGCATCTCGAAATCGCCCGTAAAGCGTTTTCCGACGTTCCTTCTAATCGCTCGGTGTTTTTTATCCCACGCGGCTTAAATGCCTCGGCTTATTTTTTTTCCGCCCCTCCTACCTCTTACCACCCTCATCACCATCCCCCATCCCCACGCCCACGCCCCAACCTCACGTTCGCGCTCGTTGCATGTACGCGTACACGAAGAAAGGTCTCTTGGTAAAAGCTCTCTTGCAATTCTCTTTTATTTCTTTTCTTTTTCTTTTTCTTTCTCTTTCGTTCGTTTTCTTCTATTTCTTTTTTTTTCTTTCTTTTTTTTTTTTTTTTTTTTTTTTTGCTCTATTAACGCATGGTTGAGCGATCAAGGATATACTAGAGGTCTTTGCATATATTTACATGCAACTTTTGCGATCATTAAAATATCTTATGAAATTGTATAAATCGTCGTTATAGTTATATAATTATATTATGCAATAGTTGTTATAATATACAGTTAATATTATATTTTATATATATATATATATATGAATATATATATATATATGTATATAGTTTATTGTATTGGACAATTACATAGTACGATTATGTAATTATATATTATATATTTTTAATTTTTATTATTTTAATAATGATATCAATTTAATTACGAATACATTTTTCCATTCATTTTCACGAGAAAAATCATTAACGTAAAATTGTTACAAGTAAATATATCGTATAGTTATAAAAAGTTCTATCAGTATTAAACGATCAGCTGATTGTTTAATTATCAGCTGATATAGTATATCGAACGATTTAAATTCTCATTCTGAACTCGAAAAAATGCAAATGGATTTCTCTCTATCGCGAGAGATACTAAAAATGAAAACGATCGTTTTATTTTCTTTCTTTCTTTCTTTTCTTTTTCCTTTTTCCTTCTTTTTCTTTTTTCCTTTCTTTCGAAAGATTATTCACGGTGTTCTATCTACGTCCATTAGTCACGAAAATATACATATGTAGTAGTAGTACATATGCGTGCGTCATTTGCGTCGCGTTAAGAGAGAAATAAATTGGGCACAGTACGACGTCGTCGTTTGAGACGTTTGATCTGCTTTTTTTCTTTTCCTTTTATTTTCAATTTTTCCTTTTACTCCTCCACCATTCTGCAAGATCTTCTGAAAACACTGTGTGAGGTCCAATAACGTAGACATATACGTACGCTCTATCATTACGGTCTAAGATACAGCATAGTTAGAGTTCGAAAATATTTTCTTTCTTTCTTTCTTCCGTTCGTTCGTTCGTTAGTTCATTCGTTCGTTCGTTAAGTTCGTTAGTTCTTATAGATCATGGTTGTCGATCGGTGGTTTATCAGTAACGAGCCTGACAAGTCTATAGCCGACTTTCTTTTACAACTCGATTCACATTCGAGTTTGCCGAGTCACATTCGTGAGACACGCGAGAACACATCGTAGAAAAAAAAAAAAAGCAAATTTGCAGGGGCGTTTCTTATTAAAGGAAAAAAAGGAAAGAAAAAACCGCCTAAGCATGAAATAAGAATGAATCATTATATTTTAAGCTCGTTGCTCGAAATGCTTTTCTTTTTTCTTTCCTTTTTTTCTTTTCCTTCTTTTCTATTATTACCTTTTTTTTCTTCGATCCCGTAAAAAAAAGAAATAGAGATAAGGACAGAGATGTGTACGAGTGTGTCTATGTGGATGTAAATATGGGTGTACGCAGAATGTGAGATCAAAAGAGGGGGACATACAAATATAATTTCTATTTTTGTAAACAGATCATAAGATGAAATGTAATGGCACGATTTCTAGGTTCGCTCACTCGTCGAGAGAGAGACAGAAAGAGACTAGTAAGTCCCGACGTTCTTTCAAACAATCCTCTTAAGCGAGTGACTAATATACACGACTATGAATCTCTACCGTGGATTTATACGTACCATCGTTAAAACGTCTCCTCCCACATCGATACGTCTAAAACCTTTATGAGTTTACCAAAAGGAAACACATTAGAATCGATTAATACCCTTTCGATCGTCGATTACATTGTATCGTTTCTTTCTTTTTGAAATCAAACGATGAGAACGAAAGAACTTGAAAACGACAAATGGTAATATTTTTTTCGTACCAACGTAATCGTTACTATTATTTATATATATATATATATATATTTTTTTTTTTTTATTGTTCACTATTGAATTATTTCAGATTAAATTCGAAACGCGAATTTGATCGGATAAATGAACAAATATTTCGGATAAAAACCGTAAGACGCTCGATAACCGAAAACTAGTCGAGAGTCTCTTTGTCGACTGGACAAAGTTCGAGGCGAGTGCCAGGCGAGTTTCGAAAATAGTTCGCTGTGGTTGCGGCACGCGGCAGCTCGAATACGTTGCCACTACATTGCTCTCTCTCTCTCTCTCTCTCTCTCTCTCTCTCTCTCTCTCTCTCTATCTATGTATCTACATAACTAACTAGCTATCTCTATCTCTGTTACTACGTCTCTCTGTCTGTCTATTTGTAGGTGACCGCCGTACAAACTACTAAACCAGAGCTACCAAACTCGCAAAATTTAATTTCCTATTGGTTTCTGATATCGAGTAGATGCATATAAATATTTACACACACATATATATATATATATATATATATATATATATATATATGTATATGGTGATAAGTTGAACTTCGATGATTTTTGTTTTGTAAGGAAAGAAAGAAAACTGATGAGAAATGTTTGGATTCTAATTGGAAAAAAAAGGAAACGCAAAAAAAAAAGAACTATGTCCTATCCTAATCTGAAATTAATAATTGTTCTAACTTGGTGATTATTTGAGTTGACGAGAAAGAAAATGAAAAAAAGATGAGAAACCAAAAGAAAGGAAGGAAAAAAATGAAGATAAAAAAAAAGATAACAGAAAGAACGAAGAGTGTATTTGATTCAAATTTGAAGAGAAAAGAAAGAATGGAAGAAAAAAGAAAAAGGAAAAAACAGAAAATAAATTATTCTTAC